AAATGGTATATTTCTTAGCAGACCAGAGCAAGCCTTTGTGGCTGCTTTTCACTCTTGTCTACAGAATAGTCAGAAAAAATTGGGTCAAAAAGCCAATCTTGTTTTAAATCAGAGACACACCACAGACATAGACGTGTTTTCTTTCCCCCTCACTGCTTCCATTACCTCTTGTCCACTCTTCCAGGGCTTATCCCTTCCCACTGTTATCTCTGATAACGTTAGTTTAGCAGTTGTCAGTGACTTGGAATTCAAAGATTTACTTGCAAAAATTACTATATGGGGATTCTGATGAACTGTCAGTTCAGTTTTCACTTGCCTTGAGAAGAGGGCAGGTGGGTATCTCAGCTGCTCTCTTTGCTGAATGCACTCTCTGGGTGTGTAATTATCTAAGTAATGAAGCTCTTTAAATGAACCAAATGTCCATGTGGGTTTGTAAGTGTACCTGTGGTAATAAAAGGAAGAAAAAGTGAGGATAATTCCCATTTCTGCCCTACTTTATGGCTGAAGTTGCTGAGCAGCTCTCTTGCTGGTGCTTGTTATATCTTTCCAAAGAGGGCTCAAAGGAGGAGAGGGGGGCTGTAATTTTCCTGACCATCTGCAAACCTGTCTAAACCCCTTTCCTTGAGGTTCAGGAAAGATACAAATACCTGTGAGAGGGTGTCACCTCTGTGTGTCACACAGCTGGGTGGTTTCTGGAGCTGCCTAACTTGTGCCACGGAGCTCTTCCTCGCTGCTTTGGGCGCAGCCTGGAGCACTGGCTGAGCCACCTGGCAGATGGATGGCTTTGAATGGCACGGTCTTGTCCCTTCCCTTCCCTGCTCCCCTGCACTGGCTCCAGCGATTTTGTCCAGCTTATTAAATGGCCAGAATACAAATCTGTAAAAATGACAGGTTTTCTGAGGGCAAGCAGGAGTGCATGGGCAGGAGAGAGGGACATGGCTTTCCTTTCGTGCTTGTGGCCTACCTGCCGCCTCCAGGTATCTAACCAAACTCTGGAGTGTTTGAGATACAACGAGCAGACCCAGCAAAACCAGGCTGCATCGCATGGATTACAAAGCAAAAGAGGAGGCTTCAGTTCAGATCATCTGTAAATTGGTGTATCCTGCATACTGGGTCCTAACTTCAGTCATGCTTTTGGATGTTTCCTGCAGAAATGTGGATCTCTAAAAAAGAAATGCCCTCAGAGAATGTTACATTTTTCTATCCAAGGTGGTTTTCTACCTGCTGCTCTGATATCTGTCCTTTAGCAGATTAGCATGAGCATTCAGGACTATTAAGAAAAAGGCATTCAGTGAAGAGGCCCAGCAAGGATTTTTGTCAAGGCATAAAGGTTAGTTTTCATTGGCGTTAAAACTCCTGAATGAATAAATACATAGTGGCACAAGAAGCCAATTGCGTGTAATTCTGTGTTCCTGCCTGAAAAACCTTCCACAGGGTTGGTGGTCTCTTCCTTGTGACACCATTGCTCTCCAGAGACAAGGGCACGATATCATTTTGAAGAACATCAGGAAGTGCTTGGCATTTTACTTTCAACCATCACTGTATTAAATCACTGTTGCTTACTGTAGAAGTAAGCCACCTTATTGGGCTGTTTGCTCCCCAGCGAGTGAGCATCAGATGGTGAAAGGCTGGCTGTCATGCCAAAGCTTGCAGTGTACAGAGACAAGCAATGGCCGTGAAGGCAGACACAGCCCGTGCTCCAGTTTCACTCAACGCTCAGGAGCATCGTTCCCACTACCACGCCAGACTGCAGCCTGGCATTGAAGGCACATAGAAAACCTTCCTCCACCCTAGGAATTGGTGTCCCCTTCCCCTCTGTGGGAATATCCTCTTGCAGCAGCACCTCTGCGTTCCCTCAGGGGCTCCAGCTGCCAGGAGGTGCTGCCAAGGGTTTGTATGCTGTTGTTAGGAGGTAAACCAAGCTGCTTGAGTGACCAGGAGCAATGTGAAGTACAGCGGGTGTTGCTTGGCATTTCATAGTTACGGGTCTCTTGGAAAACAATGACAACAACAAAACGCAAACCAAACTGCTCTATTTGTGCTGGAATCCAACAGAAGTCGAACCCACTTTGGTGGCAGCAGCTCAAGGGGAGTGGATGGCTGGAGGAGAGCCAGTTGTGCCTCCTCCCCTACTATGGAACATTTGCCACAGGTTTCTAGAAGCATGCTTTGTGGGAGCTTTGCCCTCTGCAACCTTCAGATCCCTCAGACAGACAGTAAGAAAAGCAAGAGAGAGGCGCAGCAGTTTGAGTGAGGATGGTGATGAAGAGGAGGAGTAAGACAGCTGGGGGGTTGCAGTAATGCAGCAGGGGAGGAAGGCAGTAAGGAGAGAGAGACCTGTGGCTGCACTTCCCAACCTAGCTAGTGCAAAGCTTTACACAGGTGCACAAAATGGAGCCACGCTGTCTGTAAGGGCACCAGGTGACTGCATGCTGGCAGCAGAGCAACACGGCTGCAGGTCATCAAAGCAATGGCTTCTCTCTCCACCAAGGTGGTCAGTCAAAGCCTGATGTCAGGACAAGTATAGAGTTTTCCTTTTACTCCTAGGGAAAAAATCACAAGGAGTGGAGGTTAACGACAGCTGCTTACAGGGAAACCAAACGGCTTTCAGATGAAGCTGGTTAAGTCCATTGCTGAAAGTGGATGGGCTTTTTGAAAAGTGAAAGTATCTCCAAACCATTCCAAAGAATAAGATCGTGGAATAAGTTTGACAGTTTGTGCTTCTTTTAATGGAAATATCACATATTTATACACATATACACAGTAAAGTACAAAGGGTTAGAAAACAGGCTTAGTTTTCAGCCCCTAATTCTAACATACTGTATGTTAATCCCTGAGAGCATCTGTCAATTTTATGTCTCCTGCACGTGATGCTGAGAGTGCAAATTCAAATGTTCACCTGCAGCACAGGTTGCTATTCAGATACTGAGTCTGAATGCTAAATCTTCAGTATGCTGGGTTGGCAGTAAATAAAAATTAATAGTTAAAACCATTCAATCCAGTGTAAAAATTTGAAATCCATCGTGAATCCATTGCAATATCTTTGCCACAGACAGCTAGAAGATTGTCTCCCTGCTCTCAAAGGCATGAGTTTAGCTTATATTCTTGTCACCAAATCCATTACAAAATTGGCGTCTGCAAATTGCACTGATGCAGGCTAAAATCCTCTTCAATATTCACAGGACTGGGGAGGTTCACAGGAATATGCAGCAGGGTGCATATTCCTCCAGCTCTGACCTTGGAGGCAGTCTAGCCAGCACAGCTACTCCAGCAAAAAGCGAAGTACAGGTTGTGTGGAAAAGCCTTGTTCCACATGTCTGCCATAACCTCTGTCAAGCCCTGACCCTGCAGATGCTAGCTGGCAATATCAATCTGAGCACTAGTTTTCAGTCAAATGAAGTTTTTTCTCCCATGACATGCACAGTTTCATTACAACTTCAGTGAGACCATAGCCAGCCTTTGTGCTTTGGGAGTAAAGGATGGGAAAGTTTTCCCTCTCTTTAATTGAACAGAGAAGCTGGTGACAGCGGCAGCTGGGGTCTGCCGGGGCTCCAGCAGAGCAATGCTGTCAGGAGGACACACCACAGCACATCTCATTTCAAATGGGAGCAAAGCCTGAGAAAGTGCTGTATGACTTGCTGTTTGCAGGTGACCTCTGCTTTCACAGATGTAGTCTTTCTTCAGCAAGCAGCAGGTTTACAGCCTGCCCTTATCAGAATTTGCCAGGGTTTGCCATGCCGTTCAGACTGAGTGCTGGTAAAAGCATATGGAGCCTTAACGTGGACCAGAAGAACCTGCAGCAACCTGTGGGAACTGCCACTTTGAAATGCACTCATATACTAGGGAAGGTTGTTGAGAAAGAGGGGTGAGATACTGCCCTCCCCGTGCACGATGCCACAATGACATCTGGCTACGCTTTCTAAACATTTAGTGGCCAAGTTGTCTGATGCTGCATCTCTGACATAGCATATGGCTGGATTTGATACCTGGGAAAATTGCTTGAACTGCTGGAAGCTGCATAATTTTCCTGTCCTGGCTATAACCAGGAAAGGCTCACAATAAACCTGGTGGGGGATTTTTAACAGGAACTTACATGTCAACCTAAAAAACGCCACACCTGTGGCTGACCATCTCCCTTTGTTTCACAGTTAAACACAACGACAAAAAATTCCCTGAGACTAAAGAGGAGACAACAGACAGCAGATACAGGGAAACTTAGTGGGGGTGGCAAATCTTGGGTGATGGGGGCATTAGCTCAGCTTCTCTGTTGCTCCAAAGAAATCAGTCTTTGCCCCTGATTTATACCTGCAGAGGATGTGAATACCTCAGCTACAGAAATGTTTCATATGAGGCCCTTTTTATATTCAACAGAACAAAAAAATAGCGTTGAGAACTGCATCCATACAGACTGTATAGAGCTGTAGAGTTTAATACCTATCCTGTCTTAAACTTTGATTACTGGGATTAAAATAAAGTGCTTAGTATATTCAGAATGATTATAGATGTGGATTTTCACTGCCCTCCAACACTGTGATATATTTTAAACTTTTCATTATTATTATAAAACTTTGAAATACGTCTACCTAAGGAAGGAGAAGGAGGAATGTCTAGTATCAAAACCACAACTCCTTGTTTTGTCCATTAGAATATGAACAAACACAAAATATGATCCTTTCACACATATGTTGTTTTTCAAGCTGTTTCTCAGTCATTCACCTGGAACAGGGAAAAAAAAGGAAACTGCAAAAGGACTGCACCGCTTAAAATTTCCTATTAACAGCGGACAGGCAAACTTAGTAAGTCTTCCACCTCAAAATACCTTCCTGCTCCACCATCAGACACACTGTAGCATAGCCCTTGCCCTGTTTCTGCGCCTTAAAGGCCATTATTCAGTATTCCAGCTCCATGAGCAGCAGGCATACACGAAGGCATTCAGTCTGTTATCTTGCTCAGATAACAAGACTAATGGCTCTAAAACCTTGTAAGCAGCTGCCTTTAAATCAGGTCCTGCATCTGGCAGGAGACACCTGCTTCAGCTTTTGAGCCTCTGCTGCTTTTTTCTTCTCCTGTTCCTCTGCTTTCTTCCGCTCCTCTTTTAGCTCCTTGTACCTCCACTTGGGAATCTGCAGGTAGGGGTCATCCTTTGCACTGCTCCTCCTTCTTGCCTTTTCTGGCTGGAAGGTGGGTGGAGGAGCCTTGCTGATTCGGACTTTGGGGATTACAAACCCTGGCCTGACACTGCTCCGTCTAAGCAGGTGGAGTGGCAAGAGGCTTGCTTTCCTAGTGGCTATGGTGTTCGCTTGAGAGACTGCAAGGCTGATGGGCTGCAGGCTGGCTCGCCGGTCCTTCTTCTTGGGGATCAGCGTGACTTTGGAGTTCTGAAATAGCTTCTCGTAGCTGCTAACGTGATCTTTGTCCTGAGAGCGGATCTCCTCGGCTCTCTGCTGCCTAAGGATTTCTTGCACAGCCAGTCTGCGTTTCCCCACCGAAGGGGGGCTGCCTGGGCACACAGTCCGGCACGACAGAGCAATGAAAGGACTGCGCAAGCTTGTTGTCACCTTCACCATGTGGTCAAGGACCCCGCCTTCTTCTGGGCCATAGAAATACCGGAATGAGATAGCTGCCCTCATGCACTCAGAAAACCTCTGCAAACAGCTTTTCGGCTCCGCAGCCTTGGCAAGAAGTTCCTTCATCTTTGGCCATTCCGGTTTATATTGATCGCAAAGCTGTTCTGGGCATGGCCTGTCCATCAGCTTTTGCATGATGAAGGCAGATTCTGATCTTCCTGTGTAACAAGCCCATTCCCATGAAGTCAGTCCACGGCTTGGGTCAGTCGCATGAACGTTTGCCCCTCAAAGAAAAGAAAACCAATTAGCGTTAATTAACAAAACTGCCCACGCTTTTTGTTGCTATGATCAGAGTGGAATCAGGCAGATCCCTACAAGAAAATGTCACATATGACACTCAATAATATTTGCGTCAAATGAACATGCCATAAGGAGATACCAGGTTCTTGACTTCCTGAACTCCTGATTAACTTAAAAAAAAAAAAAAAGAAAAGAAAAGAAAAAGAAATTAAGGCTATATATATGAAATTCTCTTAATGCAAAGAATGACATAAAGAATTGAATCTGCATTGAATATTGCTTGCCGTTTTAAAATCCATTCACTTGAGCTCACAAGAAAAGAGTGATGAATACAGAAAGAGACAATTCTCTACACAAAAATCCTTCCCATAAAGAGTAATGGCCTTCGAACTGGTTGATGCTACTTGGAAGAGAGATTTTGGGCTAAGGATTGCAAGATACATGAAAATATCTACTCAGTGTTCACTGGGGGCAAAAATAACAAAATAAAGGAATTTCTAGAAAAGCATTAAAGATAGAGAAAAAATGAGAAAAAAGGCTCGGGGGGGAGGCCTGACCCACAGACTAAATTTCTTGTTTTGACTTCAGACCTACCTTGACTCTATGGACTTCCCTATCAGTCACTGCAGTACTGGCTGATCCTGGCTATTGTCACCAGCCCTACTCCATTTCTTCAAGGAGTGCCTTTGTTGATGGGGCTAGTGCATCTGTGTGCCTTGCTGTCACCCTTGGCTTACTTCCCTTTGAAGAGAAGCCCAATCCTGCAGCTCCCTGGCAGATCTGTCCCTAGATGTTTTGGAAACTGTGTCTCAGAAAACAATACTACAGAACATTGAAATCCCGATCTTTCAATTTGTACCTTGTACCACAAAATCGCTTCTAAGGCGTGATGTACTACCGTGGTATCAGTTCTCTGTACAGATCAGGAGACACTTCTGAACAAACTTGTCACTCAGCAGATTGCCTCATCTGGAGGAGACATAAATAGTCATGTCCCTTTTAAAAAGTGATAGCAGTCTTATTGAACTGTCATTTCCCTGTAAGTATAGCCTACAGGTTTTCTTTTAGAAAAAATACGTTTTGCCAATTGCCTTGATTTTCCTGCAGACATTGCCCTGAAGATCATTTTCAGCACAACTAGTTTGAATACAGATGCCCCTTTGGGATATCGATACCCTATTTGATTAAGAAGGTTTAATGTCCCTCATGATGTAAAACTGACATCCTGAGTTAAAAGACTGTGAGTGAAAGAGCTCAGGCATGTGTTACCAGCTTGTTTTATATGCAGTATTTAAAGCTCAGTCTCCAGATCCACAACAACTCTGATGACTTTACTAAAGCAGCACTGAATTTACACTAGAGATTACAGCAGGGCTTGACACATGAATTGCAACCAGCATTTTTGTGCTCCTGCTTGGGCTGGCTCACTTGCTGAATGCTGGCATCAGTGCGGTCCTGGCAGTGCAGCAGCCTGTGACAAACTGCCAGTGAGCGACTGGGTTCCCCCCTCACTTGCTGTGCACTCAGGAATAGCACATTCACATGTTCCAAAGACTCCCTTTGAAAGAACAACGTTATGTCCAAGTGTCTCAGAGTGCTTTAATCTTGTAGTGATTGACCTTGGCCACCCTCCAGGAACTCAAATTCCAGAAAGAGCAGTCACTTTGACAATCCAGTTCCAACCATCTGCCACATGTTGCCCTTACCACTTGCCCAGCTGATTGTGTTAAATTCATGCTTAGGTGGCTAGGAAGATGAGTTACTTTCCTTTACTGACCTCCTGCATTGCCATAAACATGGGCCTGTCAATAGAGGTCTTATCCAAGCCCCTAAACAGATACTGGGTTTAAAAACGTCCTGGCTGTAACTCTTTTTCTATGCAAGCTGATCCACAGCTGATTGTGGGTATTTTCCCCCTATTGTTTCTGTGCATTCTTATGTTTTAACATGGAATTTTGCTGTGTTTCTTTGTGAAGTTGATTTTTTGGTCACCAAATCTTTAATAACAATTTCTTTTACCTTCTTCAGCAAATTAGCACTTTGTTGTCAGCAGCCACTCAGTATTCCTTAAGTCCCAAACTACTTCTAAATCCATTCTGGATGAGCAGCTCCCTCCCTCCCTCCATTTCACCAGACTGTACAGTGCTAAAAAAACAATCAGATATTAAAATGGGTGCAAGCAATTTACCACACTTCCTATGTGGCCTCTATTTTGAGCTGAAAATGCGAGGACCTGCAAAATACTCACCAAAACATGTATATAAATGGCTATTTAGAAACAATGTATATTAACTCTGTGCCTCTTTATGCATGAGACATTAACCAATGCATGATCTTTGGTATCCTTACTACTTCTCATGCACAAACAGGCCAGTGCAACTTCTATAGGTAAGCTTATATACAGATATGCAGACTAACAAAGCCACTTTCTGTCTGGCTAAAGTTTTGTTCTCCCTAATATTCTGGATTTTTATGAATCATGAAAACAAGAAGGTGGCTATTTGAAGCCAGAGGCAGGAACCGTATAGCAAACTTTGATATCAATACTTTTTGTACAAGAAGTAGAATAACAAGGACTGAGTTATCTACAAAGATGGAAAGGTTGTGAAATAGCTTCTAGTGATGAAAGCAGAAAGAACAAGCTTCCATGACATCTCCAGTGATAATAATAGAAAACCATGACACCGTAAGGTCAATTTGACAGCTCATAAGGCCTTGGGATTGAAGTTTTATTTTCAGTGATAATTTATAATGGCCACTGGAAAATTTGGAACTAGCATCTGCATGAAGTATGTGTTAGTCCAGAAAGTGCATCTGTGTCCAGCAGTACTCTAGCTCTGACAGTCATTTTATAATTTTGTGTCATAAAAAATTAACTCCAAAATGAATGATCCCATTCCAAAGCCTTGATTTCAGCATAAGAAGCTACAGAACCTTGCAGAAAATAACATGCCAGTTACCACATCATCCAAACATTTTCTGTGTCATATCAACATCTAGAGACTGGATGTTATGAAAATGAATGGTAGTAATATCACTATGCTTGATAAATGCCTGCAACTTAGAATATTCATATTATGAGGGGGTTAGACTTCTGTGACAACAAAATCACTGAAATGAACCACTCATTCAAGATCTCTTTTGATGAAATGGACCTGTAGGATTTACAATCTAGTCTATTATTCACATAATATTTGATTTGCGTCAAATATCTGCAACTCAATTACAAGAATGTATAATAATATGTGCTAATTATTTAATTATTAGCTAATAATTTATATACCAATTATTTAATACAATAAAACCAGTCAATATTGTGGCTAAAAGGTGCTGTATGCTGGGGCTGCTCCTGTAGAGGCTCTTGCCCTGAAGCCTCTTGCCTTTCCAAGATCCCTTCACATCACAGATTCATAAAGCTGGAAATACAACTGCAGCCAAGAGCCCACAGCAAGAAATGTATTTCCTGTTCTCAGATCAGAAGAGAAGCAGGTGGGCAGAGATGGATCTGCTCACTCCCTGTGCCACAGCTCCCTCCACCCAGCAGATACAGACTTGCTGGTGCCCTATTGCCCGTAAACCTGAAACCAAACTCAGATCCACAGAGGGGTTAGAAAGAGAGGTTATTCCCTATGTTGCCAAATGTCCCACCAATGTCCTGTATGGGAGGTGAACCCTACACCCAACTCTACTAACAGCAGGCAGAGCCCCCAAAGCTCTTCACTGCCTGCCCCAGCGCCTGCCATGGCTGGGAGATAAAAGTGAAGGTCTGGCTATGGTCCCACCACCATCACACCCCCTTGCACTATCACACCCAGAGAGACGGCAGCAAGAGACCTGTATGTCTTTCCCAGCTGTGTCATGAACTTCATTAACTTCTTATCTGCAATTCTTGATGATGATGCTCCCCAAACCCTCCTGGAGACAATGACTCTCCCCTGAGAGCACTTGGAAAGCTCCTGGATGAGCTTCCACAGGCAAACTGAGCGCTCCTGCACCTGCAGCACATGGCTTCACCACCTTCTCTATGACTTATAAGTTGCACCCATTTGGTGCAGGGAAGGCTGCACCATACCTCTCAGAGTAAATGCCCCAAGAGCCAATTTTCTTCTTGGTGTTTACATGTGACTATCTAGCATTTACAGTTAGATGATGATGTAGAAGCAACAAAGCACTTTGCATACCTGCCAGCATCAAGGCTTTCACACATTCAGTTCGGCCCTGCATCGCAGACTTCATCAGTGCTGTGAATCCGAACACATTCCTCTTCTCGATATCAAGCCCAGGAAAATAGTTCAACAAATAGTTTGTAATGGTTATGTGCCCTTTAAAGAAAAGAAAAAGCAGAGATAATATGTCACAGAATTAAGGCTCTGTCTCAAGGTTAAACCAAAAATTAGTCCTGCAACTTTGATAAGATCTCTTTTCCTTGTATCATCTTCTGCTCATTGTAGTCACCAGCCTTAGGGTTAAGGGGCACTGACTTGTGAGCAGAGTGTTGGGATAGCAGCCTGGAAACCTAGGTTCCCACCACTCTGAAAAGTCAAGGCAAGGAAATAATAATTGAAGACCAGCAATGGTCACTGAGGTTGCAATAAGTCTCAGTTTCTTGACTCAGTGAGTAGCACTGCAAAGAGAATTCCTACAGCTTATGGAAGGAAGGCCCATCACTAGGGGAACTGACTGCAAAGGTTCAGCTTTTTCTGTCCCCTGGTAAATTTGAGCCTTACAAACATGGTGCTTCATTAAAAAGTGATTACATGTGGTACTTCCAGCCAATAATACTAACAAACCATACCAGGCTTGATACGGAGATCGGACATTTTTATTTTCTCCCAGTGTAACTCTCCAACAACAGGAAAATGGGGCTAGTGTTCAGTTTTGGTACAAGTCAGTTCTGTTTCTGAAAGCAACAGTTTTGCCATTCATGTGTCTTGTGTGCCAGAGTAACTGGTATCAAAGCGTGTACTGAGTAGTCGAAAACATCTCTGGCTAAATGGTTGGAAGTCCAATTAAAATATCAAGTCTTTATAATTGGACTATCAGACCAAGAAGAATATCTAGTGCCATTATGACTTATTCAAAACAGTTTTCTCTTCACTTGTCATTCATTTTATGATGCTTTGATGCTTTATGAAATAATGCAGTCTGTCAGGCAGCTGCAACAATTACAATTTAATTACCAGGAGCTGTAAAAATCTTCTCTCATCTCACTCTGCAGTCCAGCTGAATATCCTGTGATGCATGTCATTCAAATCTATCTAGAAGTGTTACTGAAGCAGATTATAATTCATACAGGCCAATTTTAATTCTGTGGTGTCACATCTGGTGCAGATTTCCTCAGCAGTCACTTTGTACCAACACAGTCCTGTATTCGCTTTGGAAAGCAAGTTAAGAAAATCTTTACCAAATAATTTAAGATGTTTTCTAGGTGCTACTCTTTATCTCCTAGAATTCTCTGGGCTTGGATTCCTTGCTGTGTAACTGGAAACTCTTCTGAAACCTGAGCAGATGTAGAGATAGTGCAGATCAGCTTAGCAATGCCAGTGTCAGAGAAAACCCAATAAGGAGCTCCCTCTACCTTGCACAGTCTGATGCAAATGAAATATAAATATACGGCAAACTGCAACCAGCTGAACAAAGGAAAGGTGAACTTGGTGCAGGGCGGGATCAAGTGTCCCAGTCCTGCTTACTCAATACAGAAGCTGACTTTATGGCGTAAGATCACATCCTAGCAAGGTATCAGTTACTACCAGGAGAATCTTTGTGTCCAAATTCTTTTGCAGGACATGCTCTGTTTCACTGATGTTCACTGTGTGTCTTCATGAAGATTTTGGAGCAGCTGAAATACTGCTTTTTGACCATAGAAACCAGAGACAGGAACTGAAACACGGAGAAATAGCAAGATGAAAGATTTTTCAGCAGTTACTACATTTCTAAAGATATTCTTCCTTTTGCCAAAAGCATAGCTGCAGTAAAAGACATTTTGCAAATCTGGGATGATCCTAAGAGTCAATCCTGAAAGACCTTGCTCAGCCAAACTTCCCTAGGGGGCTACAGATGGCCTCAAATGAGACAGAAAAAATACCAGCAATGAAATAACAAAGAAAATGAAGAGGTTTGTGATTCTTAGAAGTTTTGTGTCTCAGGGATTCCTGAAAACCACTTCAGTTTTAATCTGCAGGAGCTTCTGTCCTCTGGGGTTTGCTTCAAATTTCTAGTTCAAACATATCAAATTCAAAGCAGAGCTCAGAGCTGCAATGTTTTTGTTCAAACCCTGTCCAACACTTTTGATTTAAGGCCATAAAGTTTGCTTCAGTTCTCCTGTGTCTGGGCAAACTAGAAGCGCATATCTAAATCATAAACCAGGTGAGGCTTCTATGATTTAAAGTCTGCTATGATAGCTGTATGCAGTTCTAAAATAAATTAGCCCGGCCTCAGCCAGTTTGGTGATACTGAATTTGTATCAGGCTTTTGCTGTTTATAAGCCAGATCTATCTTCTACCAGAACTGGCATGCTGAAGGTACACTTCCTCGTCCTGTGAGCCATATTTAGAGATCAGCACAGATGTCTGTAATAGCTTAATTCACTTAATTGCTGCCACAAAGGAAATGCCTATAATGGACAACAATATTACCTAATAATCTATGTAATACAGGCAGAAGGATAAGCCGTAATGTAAGGAAGATGCTCTGTCATATAACGTCACAATTTCAAACTGCACCTGCAAAAGCATCTATGGGTGGTGAATGCTTTCTGATGGATGGATGGAACCGAAGATATCCAGAAAGTTTTATCTTACGAATGGATTAGATGTTTGTGTTCTCATGTCTCCCCTAATAAACAGAAACTGGGATAAATTCTCATTTTGTGATGCTAGCTCTACAGCACTGCCCCAAACTGGCCCCTGTAATATAAAACATCTATGTTTTGTGAGCAGATAAATACAAGTCTCTCTAAACACCAGTGCATGCCAGTTACCAAACACTGCCACTTATGTAGCTATGTCCTCAGCAGCAGCGGAACTGAGAGTAAAACAGAAAAGGTAATTTTCCTTCTTTTCCCCTCTTTTTGAAAGCATTCTCCTTCCTTCCTTTCTTTCCACTTGTTATTTAAATCTCTTTTTTGCATCAATCTCCCATTTTTTCCACAATGTCCTTGTAATGACATTTAATGATTTTGCTTCTGCTTTAACAGGATCACCACCTATTTCTGGGCACCACCTGCTGCAGGCTGCAACAAATTTACAGTTTTGTAAGGGAAGCACTCTTTGAGAAGGGATCCTACCTCTATAAGAACCATTGAGAGTGCAAGTGAACAGACCAATTCTCAAACCTGAATTTTACACACTAAGCAGAGCACTTTGAGGGTTTTTTTCTATACTACTAAACTTGTTATGAAAGCACCGCTTTTCACTGATCACTCCTGCCTATCATTCTTGGGTCAGCCCATACAAAAAAATGGCAGCTTTAGATACTTTCTTTGAAGGACAAAAATCTTAAATTACCAAAAGCAATATGAGGACTTGAATTTACTTCTCTTCTGAGGCTCTATCTAGTCTTTAAGATAATTCTATTTAACTCAAGCTGATGCTCAGATTTGAGCATCATGGGCAGTCATGAAACAGCCCAGGTTTCAGGCAAGTGTGGATTTTAAATTTCTCTAGCAAAAGTAGAGGCGTCCCTTTCATCTCCCTTAGTATCTGTACCTCATGTTACAGATGCAGCCTCTGAAACACAAGGGACGATCCCTCAGGACTGCAGCCTCTTTCCCATGCAGCTCTTCTTTAGGGTCTGATGTCCCATCAGCAATGGCATCACCTTCTGAAACCTTCTGATACCACTTTACAATTAACTGAAATAATGTGAATTTGCTATTAGACTTTCTATAGGAAATCCCATACTTTTGGTATAAAAAAACCCCACAACAAATAAATCCTCCACTAAAGAAAAACTTGCATAAGCTTTGCTTTCAGTTCTTTATAATACTACTTAACATTCAGCAATAATTAAGCAGCATCTATTGCACTGTAGCTCCTCTGATTGCAATGTTAACCTCACAGTAATCTCCATTAACACTGCAGCAGTATGTTGTGATAATGAGTTAAATAACTGGTGTCAACACTGTAGCTCAGGATTATCATAGGCAGGGGAAAACATCCAAATTTTTAGGAGTTTGTATTAGCTTCTGCTGACTACAGTCATTTCCAGTTGCTTTGGGGATCAATACCAAGTACTGGCAGAGAGTGTCAAGTCAGTGTCAGCCCTCCAGATTAATCCTGAGCTCATTATCATGAGTTATAAAGGTCAGAAAGAAGTCAGTGTTAAACCTTTTATAGTCCAAATTTATATTATGGCAGATAAATAGAAGTAGATCAGAGTTTTGGAGACTTCTCCACTTTCTTTGGAAAACTACTATACTCATGACTTTGCTATGGACATGACTACTGTGGTTGCCATTCTTTCTTCCAGTATCCAAGACCTATCTCTCGGTGACTTCTTTAGTAGAGTTCACTTTTTGGTACGACACAAAGCAAAGTTTGGTACTACTTGGAAATGTTTAGTGGCAATATTACTAAATTAGCATCAAAACCAAAGTGGTTGAGTCTTAAGACATGGCTTCGAATGTCCATTGACATTGCTTGGTGGAAATTTGTTTCCTCTGGCCAGCCAGGATATGGGAGGGCATACCATGTCCCATGAACTCCTATGAACATCCCATATTTTTCATCAGTGAGAAGACATGATAAAGACCAAATATGCATTTCCTCGCAAAGTGGTTGCCTTTGAGGAGCTGTCCTGGGTTCAGCTACAGCA